GGAAATATAAAGATATACAAGCTTCAGTGAAGCTATAGAGTGAAGCTAGCAATGCCAAACTGTATACGCACAATCGCTCAATGCCAAAGTATACTTGCATGAGTGGTTTTTGAAGAACGAGGCATGATCACAATATATAGATATCGTATGATGCATGAATATTCAATCGTATAGAATATTCACTGATATGACTTTATATAAAGATACCAAATTCAAGGAAGTAAAAAATGCCGAAGTATAAGTACTTGTAGACTGCATTTTTAAACAACAGGCATCAATATATATTACGGTAGGGCTTACAGGAAAGGTAAATTCAGACTCAGATATGATACCCGATACTATTTTGGCCTTTTTACGACTCGTCACGAAATTCGTGAACCACATCAGCACAAGATCATATGAAGACTAGGCAGTGCAAACTTCATGTAAGCAAGTTCGTAAATTCGGAAGAGATGATACCCGGTACTATTTTTGCGTTTTTACGACTCGTGACGAAATTCGTGACGAGTTATGTCGACTTGTTCCTTTGCGATGTATTTCACGACTCGTGACAACTTGTAACGAGTCGTGAAATTGTGACGAATTATATCAACTTGTACCTTGCGATGGATTTCACGACTTGTGACAACTTTTAACGAGTCGTGAAATGCGGGAGTATTGGACATGTATGGATGATGATTATAGCTCAACCGTGTATAGGTTAACCTAAAATTCAAATCAAACTTGCTAACAGGCCGGCTTGTTAATAAATCTGGAAATATTTCTTCAGAAACGTTGTCTGGATCAATAGGATCAGGTTTCTTCTCAGACGTTTTGAAATAAACAGACGTGCAGAAAAACAAAAATTAAAACAGCAAGTTAAATTTTAACGAGCGTTACTGCGTTAGCGCTAATCAAGGTTTAAATTAACAACTGGCCCCTACACTAGGGCGTGTCGAGTCTTCAAAAAGAGCAACAAATGAGCGACATCTAGGAGGCTCTGGGGCAGGATTTGCGAATGCAACTTGCGAGAGAGAATATTTGACCAAACTTTGAATTTTGAGAGAATTTATTACAAGCTTGAATGCAATATGCACTATAATGAGAACATGGCACTATCGGCCCATGAAAAGCAGTAGGTGTGTATGGCAACCTGTAACAGACTGGAACATACTGTATGCCTAGACCTATTTTGTGTTATTGGCCAGATAACATGCATGATTTGATAAATAAAAGCAATTTATATAAGTTATATTGTTACATGCATGATAATCCACTTTTTACACGGTACTATACAGACTATAATATATATAGGGAAACAAAAGCCACTTCATCTAATACTGTCTGCATGTTCTCCAATTATATCTTCCTTGTTCACATTCGAATAAATTTGCCCTTGAAATATAGTAACTGTAGAACATCATGACTTAGCGAGGTTGCTTTTGTTGACCGTTGTATTCTTCTTCACTTTTCAGTAATTTGAGGGGCCTACGATGCCAGTGTTTTTTGTGGTTTTCAGTATTGATCATACCATGCAGTTTCTTACAAAAATTAAAAAAAACTGAGTATAGCCAGAAAAATATATGACGAAACGTAAAATATTAATACTAACAAAGACCATTGAGTTGCAAGAAGCAGTTCCGATGTACGTTAGGAGCTCGAGACGTAAACATGTGTACAGAATATAATGGTCCAATTTCTCTTTCAGTTGGCTTCCAACAATCATTTCAGTGTTGTATGATCTGATAACTGTAAAATATCATCAAACCGGAATGTCCGAACTTGATTACTTGTGGTTCCTAGAGGTACGTTATCAATATATATAATCATATATATGCATTCTATGCATATATATTTTAATCATGGTACATATCATATTAATCATGGTACTGCCAGAATGTATGCAGATGATACTAACGTATCATTCTCAGCATGTGTTTTTTTTCTGAACTTCAACGGTAGATGAAAAAAGACCTGGAACATTTAGAATCCTGGCTTATAGCCAACAAACTTACTTTAAACACAGTAAAAACTGAATGTATGGTTGTTGGTTCAAAACAAAGAATAAATTCACTTGTGGGTGATCTGACACTTTCCCTTAACAATATATCTCTACGTAGAGTTAAGAGTACTAAGTGCTTATAGGAGTGACAATAGACGAATTTCTCACATGGCTGAGCACATAGATAATGTAATTAAAAAAATAGCGATCGGCATTAGTCTTTTACGTAGAAATAGAAAAGTCTTGAAAAAGTGCGATCTCATATGAATGTATATATAGAGCTATTGTAGAACCTTATTTTGATTACTATTGTATAATTTGGGATGGTATCAGTGACTATTTAGCGTTATTAAAAGCTTCAAAAACTTCAAAATCGTGCAGCGCGTGTTATTACTGGAGCCGACTATTCGCGAAGGTCCAGTGATATATTAAGCGAATTAGGATGGGAGAAGTTGAGTGAACGAAGACAAAAATGCAAAGCAGTGATGATGCATAAAATATTAAACCATAAAGCACCGTCATGTTTCTTAGGTTTATTTATAGACCAGAAACTGGTGCCAATTTTTATGATCTTCGTTCTTCAACAGAGAATGTCGAACTTTCACTAATTCGAACTGAATATTACAAGAGAAGTTTTGTTTTTTTAAAAAATATCCATTTTCCCACTGATCATTAATTAATTAAATTAATATATATTGCAAACTATATAATATATGGCTTACAGGTAGAACAAAACTGTATATGATTTTGGTGTAACCACCGTATTGAAAAAAATACCGTCTGTAGATAGATAGACATACATACATACATACATACATACATACATACATACATACATACATACATACATACATACATACATACATACATACATACATACATATACATACATACATACATACATACATACATACATACATACATACATACATACATACATACATACATACATACATACATACATACATACATACATACATACATATATATATATATATATATATATATATATATATATATATATATATATATATACATACATACATACATACATACATACATACATACATACATACATACATACATACATACATACATACATACATACATACATACATACATACATACATACATACATACATACATACATACACACATACATACATACATACATACATATATACATACATACATACATACATACATACAGTACCGTTTCGGCCATAGATATAGGAGATCTAGATTGCTAACGCATACCTAGCGCAGGCGGGGCCTACATGATAAATCCAAGATGGCGGTACAACAGGGCAAAAAGACTATAGATTCTATTACGAAAATCAGGATTTTTGCATATTTTGTCGTCGCATTGTTTCGAAACTTATTCGGTCAAATTTTATGGTAAAGAGAAACTTACCGCGAAGATTTTGAGCATATATATGATTGAATTGGATGAAAACTCGCAAAATTATGCAGCGATAAAAGTTCGTGTATAGTACTGATATAGTACTATAGTAAGTAACTTGTACAGTTTTGCTTTAATTTTTGCTCACTATTTGCATAAAAAGCAAATTATAACAGACCATA